TTTCTCTCTATCTGTAATCTATATAAATAATATTTTTACTTAATAATAAATCAGTTATGCATTTGTTATTGTGATAGCAAGTGCATAGCTTATTTAATCAGTTATGCACTTATTATCACAAAAATAAATGCATAACTGATTTCTACCACAACAAAGTATACCTTTGCATGAGTTTTCCATATGTCTCATTTATATATTGTGTCTTGATTTATCACTAAATAAAGAATAACATTTGTTAAAATTCCAAGTTTACTATTATAAATATTTGAAAATTACTTGCATATATAGTTAAGTTTAAGCAAATTTAACATTAAAGTTTGGTCCATAGAGGCTAAATCGGGGCCATAATAGATAAATCGGCAATAAGCAAGAAATTAATTTATTTTACGCTAATACAAAGGGCTTTAATAAAATTATTATCTTTTCGGAGTGCATTAAAAATACCTAAATATTTAGTTTTTTTTTAAGGCTTTCAGTTTCTTATTTAAAAAAAGCATATTTTGACGAAATGATTTGAATTAGTAAAAATTAACTCTTTTTTTAAAATATTGTACATACGCAAATATTATGTTATTATAAACAAAAAAAAATTGTCTTTTTTTGTGAATAAATAATATTTTATTTTATTATTAGCCCCTTTTTTTAAGTATTTACTTTTCATACATATTTTTTGATTAAATAGTTTTTTTTGTTAGACAGCCAAGTCCTTGCTACCAGCGTGAGATATCAACAGGAATAATTACGTGTACGTATTTATAAACAATTTGGTATTTTGTATATTTTTATTCAGTATTTTATTTGGATTTAGTCTTTAACTTTACTTTTTCTTAATTACTTGTTAAAAAGACAAATGCCTAAAAAAGATTTTAGTAGTAAACGCAATTTTTATTGACGTACTCAATTATCCAATACATTTGAGTCCCAACTGGGACTCTATTGATTAACAAAAAAAATCGTTTGGCATACTCACACAAGTACCATTGTGATTTTATTAATGAGATCGAACCGTAGTAATCACAGAGTTATCCAAAAATGTTAAATATTTAATCAAAATTGGTCAATAAATGAATGAAAGTTCTAGCGACAAATTATTGCCTAATAAATGAACTCTCTTTAGTTCATTCTAAACTATTTAGCTATTGCTTGAGTAAATCTGGTATTCCTACATAGTTAAAAAGAGGAGTTGTAGCCCTAATCTTCAAAAACTCTATAAAATATTTTGATCCCTCAAACTATCCTGATCAGTTGTCTCTTCATAGTTAGCAAGGTCTTTGAATCTTTGATTAAAATATTTTCCATCCTAAGCCAAAAGACTTTCAGTCATTATGATTTTCGATCACCTCATTCTAGGGTTCAGTTGCTAACTGCTGTGACTAAAAAATTATATTGTGCGTTGATGGAAGTGGCAAAGTAATAGCTATTCCTCTTGATATTTCTAACACTTTTGTTAAAAATTTGCATGCAGGTCTTCTCAAAAATCTTAAAACCAAATCTATTATTCGCTTCTGTATTAAATAGTGTTTTTATTTTTTTAGGAACGCAATTGCAAAATGCACTAAGTTAAAAAAATAAAATTTTTGAGTTAATTTTATTTCCGTATTTTATATACTGATATATATCATCTATTTAAATATTAGACCATTTAAAAAAATGTTGATTCTAATAATGGACAAAGAAAATACCAGTTTCTGCTTATGCGCAACAAAGAATAGTTTAGTTTTTTGTTGTTTTCTTATAATCAATATACTCGGATTAAGCGCGTTTTGCAAATTGGCTCCTCATTTGAGAAGGTTCTTCAAATATCGGTAATTGTCTTTAAAAAAGGTTCATAAACGCATTGCAAACTTATTAAGTCTGCTATTGTTTCGCAGTGGAAGCTATTAAAGTTCCACCACTGATATGGAACCATCAGGCCGTAAGAGTCTTAAGAGAAGAAAGAAATATATTATATAAGTGCAAGGGAGTCCTAGATAAATTATAATATTTGGACAGATGTCCAGTATTAAGAGGTGGTGTTAAAGAGGAGAGTATTATTCACTAGTTAAGATAGAGTTAAGTAAGTGTTCTTTAAGTTTGGTTTAAGTAAGTGTTGTTTCAGTGTTCTGTAAGTTTGTGTTAATTATTGTGCTTTGTGTTTGTGATGTTCTAAATGTTAAAGTTTTGTAAGTGAATTAATGTCTTTCTTTGTATGAATCTGTATTTTCGTAAATATTTTGATTTTCCATCTAATTTACACTCAAGCTGCCGAGCTTGAGCCTTTCTCTGAAAGTCGCCAGGTTGCATCTCTTACTCTTTTCTACAAAAACTGTCATGATAACAGCTTAACGAAGTAATCATCTATATACGTATACCAAGACGCATTTTCTTTTCATTAAACAAAGTCACATTCTTTTACTATAGTTTTCATTACATACGTTAAAAACTTTTATTTGTCTACTTTTTTTTTATGGTACTATAACCCTTTAGCACTTTTTCCTATCTTCATTTTACCCTAATTCATACACCGTAAAACATTTTAAACCTTATCTCAACAGATTTCTTGCTCTTCAACTTTATTCTTTATTTTCTAATAACTTCCAGCATAATAGTGGTTGCTTGCAGTCTTTTTGGAAGTTATATAAGGGAGTTTTATAAAATAAAACAAAAAACAAAGGCCTTTAAATTAAATTTCAATCTTTTAATGTATATTAAATATTGATAAAACATTGACCATATTTACTAAGATTGGCAGTATTTTAAATGCTAAATAAATGTACAATAAATGCATTTCAAGGATTAAAGCGTACAATTCAAAACTCTTATAATACTTCTGTTACAAAACAATTATTAAACGTTTTCAATAGTTGTAAAATTTTTACGAAATTTTTTCAGAATTGAATCCTTTTTAAAAGCTATACTTAATCAATTTATCTTTATAGTAAGTTTTCCATTTATTTAATATTTTACTTTTTTATTTTACTCTACTATTTTAAATTATTTTTCTTGCACCAAAAACATTCTTGATCTATCATGATATTTAAACCTTACATTTAGCTGTTGTCATATAATTTGCAATGGTCTCATATTTTGGATTAAAAAAGTTTTTTTCTCTTCTACAAATAAATTTTAGAACTAAATTCTAGAAAAAAAATTTGTATAAAACTATGATCTCAGTAAATGATAATGACAAACTTTGTCATCTATAAAACTAAGCTTTTATAAATACTTATAAATATAACGCATCTAGTGACGTTAGCTGAATGTTGGCAACCATCTTTGGGTCAATTTCGTGATAACCGCCAGGCATACATTAGTCCACTCGCATTAGCCCAATGCAGTTTAGCCAGCATTTATTCAATGATATGTTTTGTTTGGCCATATGAATTAAAAATAAAATTTGTACTTAATAGTACCAACTACGTACGTATTTAACACTACTGTTTGTATTCGGTTAAAGAAACTTAAATGATTCTTTTTTATACATTAAAGGATAATGAAAACAAGTAACTTTATGTTAATACTGGCAAAACTAACTACATACTAACTTAGAATGTAGTTAGTCCTGCCAAATGCAAACAGGTAAATAGAAAATCATATGCATACCGACATAATCATATTATGTTTAAAAATATATTACGATCAAGTCTGTGTGAATTCATTAAAAGTAAGTTTCTTTTGTATGGGATTAATATGCTTTTTTAAAGTGAAAATTAAGATTCATTAAATAAAATTAAATGTATGTTAGAAAACATATAATCTGCTAATTATTAATTATCATCGTCATCTGTATCATTGTCAACTTCTTTGTCCCAAAAAAGCAAATAGCATGATGCACAGTCCTCGAACGTTTGTTAATTGAATTGTCAAAAATGTGACATTTGCTCCCTTCAGATCCATCCTACTTTTTTTGGTCGCACGAATTACAAAGCCACGACTTTATGTGATTATTTATTTCCGTTTTGTTAGCACTTTTTGTCATGGATTATGCTGTACTGCACTTCATCATAAAAAAAAAATAAATA